TCCTTTCACAAAACTTCAACGTTCTGAGGGCTACTCGTTTTTGAGTTACGCGAGATACATACATACATACGTACGTACAGTACAGCGCCAAGGGAAAAACTCTACAGATTTCATTTTAAATCAGTTGTATAATTTTTTAGGGAAAAAAGAGTCCTTTATTCTGTCCTTAGGTAAGATCACGCAAATACATCGTTAATGCTACAATAGCGGTCAAATGGATATTTTCCTTGAAAATGCTGCCTGAAACATTTTGCGATTACAATACTTCCTTTTACTTCGTACAGGAAGTAAAAATTATGCAGTGAGAGGATTAAACCATAAAATTCCTTTCAACAGCAACATTGCAACTAGTTTAAAATGAGCATCTTAGAATTTCTGCTATAGAGACTCGCGTGCTAAAGATAAAAATTTTTTTTTTTCTGTACAGTGCTGCATGCCTCGCTTTGAAATCGTTGAGTTTGTTATAAAAAATTCGTTAAAGTTTCCAAATAGGAATCATAATAAAACAAATTCCCCAAATTTCAAATTTGGTCTTCACATACCCATATTTTGTAGGAGGATTACGTCATCAAAATTTGCTGGTTCTGTACCGTTTTTATCACATGTGAGAATATCAATTTACAGATTTTTCATTATTTAATTCCTTTAAATATAACACAGGGTATAATGCTTTGGCACAGTTTGTAAGGATTTGCGTTTGTATGAATCAAACGCAAATCGCAAAACAAAAACGATCGTTCTTCAGAGACAACCTTGGCTGAAAAATCTAATTTTATGCAAAAATTTACATTTAAAATTAGCACCAAATTAATTTTCATTTTCACTTATTTTTAAAACTTAATCGGCATTCAAATTTATGGCAAAAAAAACATAAATCTACAGAGTTACACTATTAAAATATAACTTATCTGTTAGACATGAAAATTAATGGCTGCAGTATCTGTAAAATTTTTACCCATTTTTTAGTGAAAAAAGAAAAACGTAAAGTATCTATGATTTCATATAATTGAAATATTATGTACAATTTTTTGCTATCTAACTGTCGACTGATGTCACAATGATAAAACTCTATTTTACAGTCAACATTTTTGTGAAGCCATTTCATATTCAACACATCATTAGAGGTTTCAGAAGCTTATATGCTCTGCAATGGCTGAATAAATGCAGTTTGCAGTGGCAGGTTACAAAATATAGCTGGACTGGATAGGGCGATGGAGCGCCTTGAAAGGCCCCACATTTCCATCAAATGAACAAAAAAAAAAATTTCAAATTTAAAGCAAATTGATTTTGACGAAATGGATAATTATGAATTTATCAATAATTAAAAATTTTATTTTAAGTTCGCATTGCTGGATGAGATTTATATGTGTTTATATTATATAATACTTTTAATTAGAAAACTGATACCCTAAAATTTCTGTCAAATGTATTATGAATTTAATTCGATAGTCCTATATTAGAGATTTTGCACTACCTACGTGACTACTTTAGTACGAAACTATTGTACTATGCAGTATATGCACGCACACTATTGCGCACATCAGCCATGGTGATGTAACTAAAAGAAATGGAAGCTTTGAATCTTTTTCTCCTTCAGATTTTTTTAAAATCTGTTTAAATGTTAAATGTTTAGCGGATATGATAGAGCAACGGCATTTCCAAACTTGATTATTGCTCTCAACTATTCTTAAATCCAGTAGCATTGCTTCTGGAGAGAGATCATTTACCAAGCTAAAATTAATAAAAAAAGCCGATCGAAATGGCAGGATAGTGAATACTTTAGCACTATGTCGATTGAAAGGAAGATGCAAGGAAATTAGATTTTCAAACAATTTAGAAGAATTTACAGAACAAAAACTGAGAAATAAAATTCATGTATTCATATTCCGTGTAAATTTATATTTAATAAATGTTTTGTATTTCAGCATTTTTATTTTTTATTTATTGAAGTTTATGATGTCTTGATATTTTATATATTTGAATTTGAATTTTATTTAAAATTTATATATAGAGAGGGCCCCCGAAAAAAAAATCCATCGGGCCCGCACCTATTCGATCCGGGCCTGGGTTACTAGTATTTTTCCATCCAAACTTCAAAATCGAACAACTTTTTTGGGACTGATCAAGCATGAAACATAAGAATTGTGTGAAAAAGCAGCTTTCTGATTGACAAGTGCTCATTTGAGTGAACAAAAATTTAATATGTTATTTTAAATATAGGACTATTTTAATACTAATCAAGCGATTTTAATTAACTTTTCATATTAGGCCCACCAGCGGCCGAGCGGTAAAGTCGCTGAACACTGGTAGTTCGGTCCGAGGTTCGAATCCCGCGAACGGGCTGGCTGCATGGGCGTTTTCGTGGTTTTCCCCATGTGTAACGTGTATACGAGCCAGTTTCCCTTAGAAAGTCCCTCCCCTTAGGCAGATAGCCCTCATGTGCTTTGCCATAATTAAATACACCAATTTTAACTTTTCATATTTCCATATGTATACCCCAAGATCAAAAACATCAAATACTTACTTCCCTAATAATTCATCACTTTTCTTGAAATAAGATACTGAGCTTACCAGTTATTGCAGGGTTTACAAAGGAGCAACAAGTCATGCCAGTTGCAACATTATCTCCGATTCAACATTAGACACCATCCCAGATTACTTGATCTGGCATTCCACTTAACAGTAGTCCCAAAGAGATTTAATAGAGCTTAAACATTTAGGGTCAGTGGGTAATTTGGATATCAGATCAGGGCTCCTTAATCCATGCCTGCATAGAATAAGTTCAATGGGCTGGACTGCCCAGATGAAATAAACCCCCCTTTAAATGTAAAAAGGCTTTGATAAGTGGAAAACTAACAGATTTTTAAGCTGTGCCACCTAAGAACCTTTTTACATATAATAAGATATTAATTAATGTGTTTATAATAAAGCACTACACCCATTATTGAATCATCAATGTTTTGAAGAAAGCCAGTATGGCAGGACAGATTCATGGACTCCTGTTACAGTTCCTCAAAATTCCCCATCAGCTCAGTTGTAGTAGAAAAAGGAATGTCTCTGTATATAGTTATAGCCCTAAGACCCAGTGCAATTGGCAATGCTCATAATGCACCATCCCGACATTTAGTAGGATGTGACCAGTGCAACTGCTGCCATTTGGTTAATCTGCGCCAACTTCAACTGTCTTCACTAGTCCAGACCATACATAACCATTGTTTTCTCACTAACATATTCATTTGCGGTATACCCATAGTAGTATGTATGGTTCTCCTATTGCATTAGCATTTATAATCAAACCTGATAAGGTAATTTACTTTAGCTGATTCAAAAGAGTAGCCTATAGTTTTCATTCTAGTATGTTTGACAGAAGAAAATATATCGAGTTTTAATTAAAGTTTCCCGCCACTCCAAATATTGCCTGCGCAAGCATTTCATGTCACCATGTTTAATCATATTTTGTCAAAGATTTTTGGCATTTGAAAGAAAGAGACTTGCTTTAGAACACTGTGTTGTGAAATTTGTAAACAAATATTGTTATTGTTAAGTACAAGTTGTCTGAAATGGAACTATCATGCTACCAGATTAGAACCATCATTTACTTCCAGTTCTGTTACAAAAAGTCAGCTACATTATGTCACCAAATCATGTATACAGCTTTAGGTACTGATGTTGTATCATATGACATTGTGAAGGTTTATTACCCAAAGTTCAAAAACAAGGACTATGGCATTCAGAAAGCAGAGCACTCTGGCTTGCCTACTGATGCTGATGAGGCCTGCCTGTGAGGTCTTATGGAAGAAGATCAGTATGCAACCACTCAGGAGCTTTCTAAGGAGTTAGACATTATTGTCATGTCCATTAGTCGGGCTATGCATTGCATAACCTTGAAGTACAAGTTTAATCACTGGGTGCCTACTGAAACAGATAAGTACAGACGTATCGGGCCTGCCCTAATCTGCTGGACTATCAACACCAGGATAAAATTCTGGACTGGATCATCACTCTGTATGAAAAGTGGATTTACTTCAATAACACGGACTGAAAAGGGGTTTGGTCTGCACCCAGTGAGCCCACTGGGAGCATCACAAAGGCGTAATTTCAATAACAAAAAGGATCAGGCTTTGTATCTTGTGGAATTGCCATGGTATTATTCACAAAGAGTACCTGGTAAAAGGTAAAAACCTCAGCAGTAAGGTTTACAGTGAGATGCTAGTCTGTATTGATGCTGCTATCAAGGCAAAATGTCAAACTGAGTTCCGCCACAAAAGGATAATGTTCCATCAAGATAATGCAAGACCACATGTGTCGGCATTCACTGGCTGGACGCTGTACAGACTCGAATGGGATCTTTTGCCACACCCACCATATAGCCCCAACATTGCTCCTTCAGACTTCTACCTTTTTTCACACCTGCAGCTACATCTTACTCATGCTATCTTCCATTCTGCACATGATGTCTCAAAAGAGGTTGGTCTGTTTTTAGAACTTGCGGCCACCAAGTTTCTGGGCCGAAGGCTTTGAAAAACTACCAAAACATTGGCAAAAAAATCATCAATTTGGATGGTGATTACTACCTGCACTATACTGCTTTCATTTTTTTCTCCCTAACTTTATTAAGAACGTTTTTGATGGAAAACTTTTGTTAAAATCAGATACATCTGTCATTATTGCTGTTTTTAATGATTTAGCCTTTTAAAGTACACTGAAACTACAAAATGTTTGTTTTATTTAAAACAGTTTACTATGCACTTAAATTAGATATCATAAGAAAATTTAAATATGTAAAGAATTGATATCCTATTATGTGCTTTCTTTAGAGAACAATATACAGCAATTTTCTGTATTAAATTTTTAAGAAATCGTGTATTTCAAAGTGCACTAGTGTACATTAAACGCAATAAAATTTAATTAAGATTCAAACACATTTGTGCTTTAGATGGATCATAATTTAAATCACTTTCAATCATAATTATTAGCAGTATGAAATAACGTATACTTACACTTAATCGCTGGGCATCTTCCTGTGGAGCAGTAGCATGATAAGACAGAACTTCTAAAGTAACTCTGGTTTTTGCAATTGCCTTGATAGCTTTTTCATACATTTGGGTATTTTGTATACCCATTCCACAAAAGATAGCAAATGCCTATAGAAAAGAAAGCTGTATCTACAAGGAAAATAATAATTACTCTGTACTAAATGTAAATATAATATTTCATTTTAAGTGTATAATAAAGAATCAAGAGATAATTGAGGTAAGCATTTTAATATAGTAATAAATAATTTCATAAACTGAGTATAAGAAATAAATCGGAGAATAACAGCATAGAAAATTTCTAATTTTCCCCCTTAATTAAGCAAAGAACTATGCCACAGTAATTACACTAAATAAATTCTGTATTGATTTAATGTTTATATTATGCAGGGAGATTGAAAATATGTGGCAAAGCTTTTAAAGAGACAGAAATAAGTAAATTTTGTAATGCAATGTTTGTGTGGAAATGACACATTGAGGTGGTACAAAATGCTACTGAGGAATAGATAAATGCATTCTGCTGGCATATGTTAGTACACCCTGAGTGTATTTTAATCAGTATGCATCTCTACAAGACCATGGAGTTTGCCACCATGCACTTTACCTAGGATGCTGCAGATGGAAATACAATAGCTGCTCAAAGAAAGTACTTGGGAATCACACTCTGAATTCTTTTTAAACAGCTACTCTGTTTTAACTGCAGCTCCATCATAAAACTCCATATTTGTGTAGTTATGCATATTGCTCAAAATTCACATGGGTCACATGATAACATATCATCAGAATGTTTTCACCTACTGCTCAAGAGTGCCCTGTACTAACTCAATGGTCCATTTCCACACAGGCACTCCATTACAAACAATTTACACTTATTTCATTCACATTTACTTGCCTTTACATTTTTGCCAGATAGTTTTGAATTACACTGTATAATGCAATTTCAATCTATTTTAAAAACAAACATTAAAATGTCAAGTATTTAAATATTCATTTCAGTACCTTTACGAAAAGTCATTCTACTTATTTTTGAAGATTTTACTTTCATGAGCATTCAACAAGTAAATAATTTTTAAAATAAAGAAGGAAGTTAAACAGCCATTAATCCTTTCTTGGCATGCAACTATAAATGGTAATGTAAAATGTAGAAATATTAAAGTAATGAAATTAAATAAACACTTAAGGCAATTAATTATCAATCTCTGAATTCCTAGACCAAGAATAATTTCTGGTCACACTTTTTTTTAAACCTACAAAACATTTTAACAAATTGTAAAAATTATAAAAGATGCTTTGGACTCTAATTTGCAATTATTTATTGACTTTAAATTTATTATGAAGTTTCTCCTCCCCCCCTGAAAAAACACCTGCTTCTTAAATTTCTGCAAAATAATATATGCCTTCATTTTCTAACTCTATGGGAAAGGATTTTATTATTTCTAAAGTTTTAATTATTTTCTTCCTCTTCACATGGCTACAAAATAATTCTTCATCACTAAACTAATTTTGCATCTGTGCTTTTTCTCAGAAATTACGCTAAAAATTTTACCTATAATAACCTCACAACTTCCCAGCTATTACACTTTTCTAAACCTATTGATGCAAAATAATGTGTCCTATGCTTGATTAAATACATAACTGGTTCTGAAGAATACCAACTTCTAATACAGTATCAATTTCAATTTTAACCTTATCAGTTCTAAGTTCTACAGACATAGATAAAAAAATTCTAATTGTTAATAGTCTTACCTGGTCACTTAACAGTTGAATTATTCAGCCTACATGTCCAATAATATTCAAGTAAAAATTCTGTTATGTGAATATCTAAGAATATTGACTCCATGCCAAAAAATAGATGCACTGTTATTTGCTAAAATAATTACATGTAGTTGATTTCCATATGAGAAATACCCCAGATGAAATTAGATGGTATAACAATTTAATTAAAATAGTTCTTAATTAACAAAAAATTATGTAAGCTTATATACACAAAAAAACCCTAAATGAATATAAGTTTTAATTAAATGGGAAAGCAATGCAATACTTTTTGGAAAGGAGGAAGAAGACCCTCAAGTACTATGTTATATACCAGGGTGGGCCAAACTTTATGTCAGTAAGAGCCGCATGTTTGAATTCAGGAATATTCAAGAACCGCATCTAGATTTTCTAAAAGCCACAAGTTCATATTTATATTATTATAGAAGTAGTGGAGGAGGTTTTAAATATGAATACCCTGATAACTTTGTAAAAAGAGTCTGATCTAATTAATTACTTCCTTTCGGAGACTGAATAGTTTTAGTTTACCATTGTAATATCTTGTTATTTAATAAATAAATATAATTATTGTTGAAGTGGCAACGCCATATTTGTATCAAACCATTACTCAGCAACGAGAGATATTGTTTTAAAAAGATTTTGTATTCTGAAGATTTTGCCAGCTAGGAGCAGTATTAAAATTTTGCCACTTAAGAATTGTATAAAATTTGTCTATCACCGAGAACTAGAAATAAAATTTATGTTCTACTAAGAAGATTGTCTGTTTTGTAAATTATTGCAAAATACATTACAGTCTTAATTAATTGGAGGTCCCACCGAGATCCTGAAAATTAGGAGTGCAATTATCAATTTTGATGGTGCTGGTCTCCTAATCCCAGAAATTTGCTGAATTTTTTAGAACAAGTTTGCTAATACCAATTGCCGAGTTTGTTTATTTCAAGGAGAAATGGATGTAAGAAGTCTGCCGTTTTAAAGCCAGATTTGAAGCAGATCATTCAAAGATTATCTTCTGTGCTTCTATAACTTGTGTCCGAGCAAAAACTGTCAAAAATAGGATATTGCTAATCTCTGAAGATAAGATTAACTTTTGGTTTTCTTAAAAAAGCTTTTATTAAATTTTAATACTTTATTTCAGAATTATAGTTTATCGTGTAAGATTTTGTTTAAAATAACTGACCCCAAAATTATTCAGCTTAAATTTATAATTGATATTTGTGGTAAAGAAGTATTTTGAAATTATTATTTATGCTTTACTTTTATTTGTATTGAATTTTTTTGTTGATAAATTATGTGTGTAAGCCATCCCGGCATTTATAAAAAAAAGAACTGCTAGCTGAGTTTTTGAATTTGTTGCCAAGCAGGCGCATGAAAATAAGTAATAACGTCAAACTGACGTAGTGTGATTTGATTATACTGCTGAATTGGCAAAGATTTTTTTCTTAGTTCTCGCCATCCAGGCGTGTGGTAGATAGTAACATCATCCCGACGTATTACAGATTGTATATTCTAAAAGTTGTATTGCCAAACTGGCAAAAATTGTTTTTGTTATCGCCAACCAGGCGTGGAGATAGATAGTAAAGTCATCAAACTGACGTGGGTAAAATTCCATTGTATTGCCTAACTGGCAAAGGTCTTTATATAGTTATAGCTAACGAGGCTTGTGAATAGTTAAAACGTCAACCCGACGTAGTATTAAATTATTTTGTGTCAACCTGGCAAAGTTGTTTAAATAATTCTCTCCAGTTGGTTAGTGTGAAATTCGTATTCGAGAAATTAAATCTCGCAAGAAATTATATATTTTTAATACAAGTACGAGCTTTTAGATTGAATTTCAAAAGGAAGCCTATTAAAAGTAACTTGTGTCAACAAGTCATTCTTAGCTAGGAGTAAAAAACAGGATTTAAAAGTACTAGGCAGAAGAGTTAGGTTTAAGTGTGAAACCTCTGAATTTAAGATTGCTCAGTTGCATAAACTGATTACTGAAAGTCCCGATTATGATGAGGAGTTTACTTTGAGAACTTACTGGCTGCAATTAGAGAAGAAAGTGGAACGAAAAGAAGAATGCGAAAGAGAAAAAGGAACGCGAAAGAATACGAGAAAGAGAAAGAAGAGAACAATGTGAAAGAGAAAAGAACATGAAAGAAAAAAGAGAAAGGGAACGCGAAAGAGAAGAAATGAAAAGATAGAGACTTGAAAAGAAAGACAGAGCGAATTAGAGCCTTTGAGCTACAGAAACTAAGCAATGACTGCAAAAACACAGGCTGCCACAGCCACGTAACATTTTTCAGTAACATTAACCTGAAACTTACGGCAGTTACCTGAGCAAAACCTTTAAAAATCAGAAATTCACGATGTCATGCCACGTTTTAATCCTAAAGAAGATGGAAATAAGTTCATTTCCTGGTGTTATTTGAGCGTCAAGCTAAAAATTGTGAATATACCTGCTGAAAATCAAGTGACTCAACTTATTTCATTACTGCCTCCTGACATTGTTCAGCTTATTGCTAGAGAACCAGAAGAGGAAGCGAAAAAGTATGAATATGTAAAAACTTTACTGTTACAACGATTTAAATTGACTGCAGAAAAATTTCGACAACTATTTAACAAACACCAAAATCTACTGAAAGTACTTGGTATGATTTCTACTATGAATTAAAAAATTATTTAGAAGGATGGCTTAACGGATTAAACATTAAAACTTTTGAACAGCTAAAAGATCTCATGCTGTTGATCAAATAAAAAAGCGTACTTCCCCTGATTTCAAAGAACATTCTATGGATCATGTGTATGATTATTCCTCTACAAGTTCCCCAGTTCCTTCTTCTCCAAAAAGCAAAGATGTGTTTGACAGTTCGTTAGCAGCAGATCAAAGAAATTCTTATAAAAGAACTCATGAAGGTGCTTCTAAAGCTGAGAAATTAAAAATATTACATTCAGAATATAAGCTCACGTCAGAAAACTTAGCAAAGAGGCATAAACATGATAGAGGATACTCAAAGTTGCCACATTCAATGAGAATGCAAGTAACAGATAAGAACAAAAGTTCATCTCGCAACAAGCAAAAACTATCTGAAAAGAAAGAACTGACAAAATTAAACGATTCTCAGTTAAAAGTTCCAGATGAATTGCCAAGTTCTGGAGTTGAGATGCAAGTCAAGGAGAAGTTTTTAAAGAAACTAAACAGACAAGAGCAAGTTGTTGAAGAAGAAAAACTGCCACAAAAGCCTCTGTCACACTCACCTGATTTCAATAAGGAGTTTATTTTGCAAACTGATGTTTCAGACTCTGGTATGGGTGTCATTGTAGCTCAAAAAGGTGAACGAGACAATGAACATCCAATATTATACCTCAGTAAGAAGTTTACAGAAACTGAAAAAAAGTACTCTACCACAGAAAAGGAATGCGCCACCATAATATTTGCTGTAAAGAAACAATGTTATTTAGACGGGCATACTAAATTCCTCATCATGACCGATCATAATCCCTTAGTTTGGCTCAAAAATAATGTGAGTCTAAATCCACGACTTATGAGATGGGCACTAGTATTACAACCCTACAATTACACGATCGTTCATCGAAGTGATAAAAACCATAAAAATGTAGACGCATTAAGTCGTACTCCCTGGCCTGATTAAATAATTTGTTTCCCTATATAGATAAAAAAAATATTTTGTTCCTTCCTCTCTTCCTCAGTGTATCTTATTATGTTATATCTTGTATTTCAATTCTGTATTGTGCTAATATTGTTATTTTGAAAAAAAGAAAAAAAAAAAAAAGAAAAAAAAACGTAAACTTTAATTTATAAAAATATAAATTAAGTTTATCTGGAGGGGGGAGAGGTTGTAATATCTTGTTATTTAATAAATAAATATAATTATTGTTGAAGTGGCAACGCCATATTTGTATCAAACCATTACTCAGCAACGAGAGATATTGTTTTAAAAAGATTTTGTATTCTGAAGATTTTGCCAGCTAGGAGTAGTATTAAAATTTTGCCACTTAAGAATTGTATAAAATTTGTCTATCACCGAGAACTAAAAATAAAATTTATGTTCTACTAAGAAGATTGTCTGTTTTGTAAATTACTGCAAAATACATTACATCATATTTCATACATATATTTTATATGCACGAGCCGCACAAATTGCCTGCAAGAGCCATATCAGGCTCGCGAGCCGCAATTTGACCATCCCTGTTATATATCATGAAAAAAATTAAAGATTACCAATTTAATTAGCAAAATAAAATTTAAACATCAATATAAACCTTGACCAGTGAACAATGAGCTATTTTATTTATATTTTACCAAATTAGCATTTTGTTCACTAAATAATATAAGAAAGAAAATCAGGATTAGAAAGTACAAAAAAATAAAGGATTTCAAGTGAGCTTTCCACTGTTTAATATACAAATGACCACAGAATTTGAAGCCATTCAGTGCTTTAAGCAGATATTTAATGTTTGTAAAAAATTCAAATTTGTGACAAAACCTAATAAAAAATATCATTTTTTAACAGTTTAGTGTTATCTATTCATCATAATATGCCTTTCATTTCTGGGGGGGGGGAATTCAGTGCTAAAATCATCAAAATAATTTTGAAGTTACGTTCTTGAATGATACAGAACTATTTTATTGAAGTTTCCACAACCCTTTTGCAAGCATTTTATTAACAGTGGTTTAAAGAAATTTATTTACATCATATATTTATATAAACAACTCAAATATTACCTGAACAATCATTAAATTTAAACTATAGTACATACTTCATCATATACAAAACCTTTTTTTTTTCCTTTTTTTACATTAATAAATTTTAAAAAAAAAATTATTATTATACTCTAAAAGTTTATGCTGAAATTTTTTGAATGAACAGTTCAATGACAAAAAAAAAAAAAAAAAAAAAAAAAAAAAAAGACTTTTATTGAAGTTTCAAAGTTAATACACTCACACACAGCACAAAACAACTCCAGTTTCACATATTGCAGCAGAATACTTCATAAACAGGGACAAATGTTTAATTTCACTTCCAGAGCTCAAGTTATGCATCAAAAACTGAAGACAAAAATGCTTTGAAGATACAGATATTGTAAATCAGATGACAAAATTTATGATAAAGCAGCAAAAATTAATCAAATAGTGATTAAGTTATTTGATTAAGTTAATAATCATTAACTTAATCAAATAGTCTGATTGGCTTCACTCATTCACTAGCCAAAAAAATCGATGGAAGTTTATAAAAACACAAAATCAGACACTAATACAGAAAAATCAATATAATAATAAAAAAATTAATCTAAACAAATATTTACATGAATTTATAACAACATATACATTTGTAAAAGATACATTTGGCTGGGAGGAAAATTAATAAATGTGCTTAAACTTTACCTCAAATAAATGCTCATCATTTTTGTTAAAAGGAGTTCCATTAAGTTTGTTAATGAGTTGACTAACACCAACAATTTTTGTTGAAGCATTTCTGATTGGCATGCACAAAACTGAATAATGACGAAATGTGCTATCTTCATCAACCTTAATTAAGGGGAAACATGTTACATTATTAGACAAAATTCCTCATTTTATATAAGTTTTAATATTACAGTAATTTCATAAACAATATAAATATAGAACAAATATGAAAAGTTATAAAATTTAGTTTGTTTTTCACTAACCAATAAAATTCAAGTGCAGTTCTGATTTTTTCAACCAGTCAGACAAAAATATTTTTCAAAATGTAATATTTAACAACATAAATGCAATGTAAAAAATTAAGTAAATACAATATTTTAAAAGCAAATAAATTTATTCTTAACATCACATTAATTTCAACTATAAAGATTCAAGAATTTCAAGAGCATTCAATATATGAAATTTTCTCACGAAGAAAGATATGTAGAGAGCCTTTGTAATTAATGCTGAACTCAAGTATAATTTTGTTTACTATTGAGACTGCATTTTATTTAAGTCAAGAACTACTCATATATACTTACTGAAGGATCAAATCTCTCATCTTGATGCACATCTGGGATATTTAATGTCCTGCAAAATTTTTTAAAATGAAAGATGTTATATACATATATATGTAATACAAAATTTTTTATTATATTTATTTTTAGATAAAATGAAAAATGGATCATTCTTATTACCTCTCCAGTTGTAGCAACATAACCAGTGATTCCAACATTTATAGGAAATCGACCTTCAAAAGGACTGTAAAATTTAAAGAAGAAAATTTCAAAAATTTAAATTCATAAGTAAGAGAAAAATCTGGTGGAACATGATTTAAAATGAGATTAAAATTTTGCAAATTTTATTATCATAATTTATATTTGACAGAATATGAAAAAAAGATAAAAAATAATTTACATACATAAAAAAATGGTATTTTAGAGTTACATATAAAAACAATAGATAATGTATGCATCAATTTGCCAATAAATGTATGTCTCGATACTTACGTATTAAAGCAACCACCTTAGCACATTTGGCAATTTTCTACACATGAAAAGGTAAAAGTTACCTATCAGGTGCAAGTTGATGGTTTTGTGGATCTTTTTTAGAAAGATTCCCAAACTATCAATATTTATAGTAAGAATGTAAATATTATCAATATACAGAAAGAAAACCTACTTTAGCAATTTAAAATAAAAATTTTAATAATTAATCACGGATTATGCAATACATTAAAAAAAATAAAACACATTCTTATTCAAATCCTTCTGTAATGTTTTTGTGCTATTCTTCACTCAAATTATACAGTGATTTACTTTCGCTTAAAAATATCAGAGAATTATGGAGACTGACTTCATGAAACCTCAACAACAGCACATATCTAGAAAATGCATTTCCTTATTGCTCCCTTTAGAAAATGTTCACCAAAACTCTGTACTCCTGCAGAAATTTTACTGAAGTTTCTTCCACTGCTAACAAATTACAAAAGCTCTTATTTTAAAACTAAGTTTTAACAAGTTGCTTAAAAAAACATTGGGACTTGGACTACAACAAAAAAAGAATCCATACAAAAATGGCAGTACTGCTTGATTGAAGAATTGCTATGAGCATGGTGGCTGGAAGAATGATTATACGTATGGTTGCACAATGAGTTTGATGCATTCTGAAAGTTTGGCAACTTCTGCTAGCGTGGTTAGGTTAATATGTAAGTACCTTTGTCTCTATTTTGCAAATGTAAATTTAATCTTCAGTGCCTAAAGGAAAAACAACAAGTCATTTCTTTAGATCTCAACAGTGAATGGATAAGATATGGAGTTACTGATACAGCAGCAAAGAATTCAAAGTTCAGTGGATTAATGATACCATCCTATATGAGCTCTCTGTTCATTCTTTTCTCTTATTTTGAAGTTATATTCAGGGTGATTCTAAATTGTTTTTACAAATTAAGAGGGGTGATAGTACACATCTAGATGAGCGATAATTACCATAAAACAAAAGGTTGCATTCCACTCTAACAGGCAGAAAAGAGGAATAATATTCCAACCTAAACTTAAACAGTCTTGGGAAAGCAAATAAAAGAGATGAAAAGTTACAAAATCAGATTTATTATTTAGTGAAAAAGTCACAGCAAGTCCACAATCAAAATGCCGACAACTTGCTCTTAGATTTCTGGCGTTCATGCATTTCACGAGCATCCTGCATTTCTTTTTGAGATGGCAAAAGAAACGGTTTCTCGCAGTCTTCGATCAACACTCGAAAAGGCTGTATGACTTGCAATCTGACGAGTTGGAAACCGCTGCTTGTATAATCTTCATGCTTTGCGTTCATCCCCTTTTGCATCACCATATGTGAGGTGAATATCTGCCAATTCCTCGTAAGGTAATACTTGAAGCAATGAATTCAAAGTTCAGTGTTACCAAGGTAATACTTGAAGCAATGATGTTGTGCCATTTTCAAGGACACTGATTGCTCTGATTGGCTCTCTCCAGTACCAGCTAAGAGTCTTCTCAGTGCAAATTTACATATGGTTAATTCTTGATAGTCTTAGGAGATAGTCTCCTTGTTCTTCCTCAATGCGTTTCTACTTTCCTCTTTTCTGCCTCTCAGAGTGGAATGCGACCCTATGTTCTATGGTAACTATTGTTCAACTGAATGGGTACTATCACCCTTCTTAATTTGTAAAAGCAGATTAGAATCACCATATATATATACTGCAGGCAAGAGGTATGCAGCATCCACCAACGAAAATTGAAGTAATACACACTGGGATCACCACTAAATTATCTTAGTGCTTAGTACATTTCCAAATAAACCTCAAGTAACAACAACAAAAAAAAAAAAAAAAAAATTAAGCCTCCTCCCTTCCATACTAATTACACAAATTGGATAAAAACTTGAATGAAGAAACTATGCCAGGAAATAAATACAAAATAAAACACTGGTTTATAGAAAACAAAAAATATGCACATATATAAAAGCAACCAAAAAATAACAATAATCATTTTTATTTTTCTAATATTTTAAAGAAATATGTGATGTGTATTTTTTAACTATAAGAACAAGTATGACTCAAAATTCAACTTGATGAGTGGTTTGTAATATTTAAGCTTAGTCAAAGAAAAAAATTAGAGATAAATAATGTTAAACATTACCTTTTTCTATTATCTGCATTTTCTGCATTCATATCATTTACATCCAGATCAAACACTCTTGAAAATGTCTAATAAAACATCAATGAAATTTTCAATCATAAAGTGAGGAGAAAAGAATCTGCTTTCATAAAATTAAGTTAATATTTTACCTTTGTGTTTTCATCAACCAGAAGTACTTGACATCTCTCACATTGCAGTAACGACTGAGTATGAGTCATGATTCGGTATACAATGTGTTCAATTGTACTTTGTTCTTCAAATACCATCCGTGCCAAATCCAGAAGTACCTTTAATTTACATGAAGCATAATTCAAAAATCTGTAATGGCTTTTATTCAGTTATTTAAAAAGGTTTGCTTCAAAGGGAATTAAAAAACCTGGGGATTTCAATAACAGTTCCATCAAAATTGCTAACCACTTCTCTTCAGCTACAATTTTTATTCAACATTCAGAAGTCGTAAGCAATAACAATCAACAAGAAAAAATTCATTTAATGAAAAATTTTATTACATATTACTTCAAATGTTACTTCAAATGAAATATACTTCAAATGTTACTTCAAATGAAATACACTTTTCAGGAACTCTAATGAATATAAATGACAGATACACAAGCATAAATTTTAATAGTAATATGAAAGCAAAAAAATTATAAAAACTATTTTTAAACTAAAAGCAAAAATGTATAAAAGTCATTGCATATTAATTCAAAGCATATCATATAATTTGCAATGAATTGCTGTAGATTTTTATCACTTCAAAAACTTTTGCTGCAATTAAAGTTTTATTGTAAAAATTTCTTGTTCTAGCAAACTAGAAATTTTTGTCACTTCACTTCCACAATATACTTGTTTTGAGTGTCATGCTTATAAGTGAAAAAAATCTCCCTTTCTGACTTGAATGTTTCTTTTCCTTGACAAAAAATTAATTAATTAATAAATAAAAATATATAGCTCTGGCTTGAAGACTGGAATAGTATATGATAGAATCACAGCAAGTTTCCCTTACTGTATGGCAGTCTCATTTTAATGACTTTGCAGTATTTTATACTTGGATTTTATGTGAATTGATTCTTAAACTTGTAGAGACTTATTACAATTATCTAGCATACAACTGTTTCAGCTGTTTACCTAGAAACTAGTGGGAAAAAATAAATAAAATCAGATTTAATTTTATGACTGTATATTTTTTAATTATTTTAAATATTTTAGTAAATTTTAAAAGGTAAATTCTTCTTCAAAACTTCAGACTATAATCTGAAACTTTCACACAGCAATTTGTATTTATTTATCATTCCCTCCCCCCCACACACACATGCCGAAGATAAATAATAATACTAAACTGATAGCAATGAGATTCAGTAAATTTAACTCAATCAATTTGTTATTTCATAATAAAATTGGTAGGCCTATTATAACGGTTTAAAACATTTTGAAAGTTAAACTGGAAACAGTGTACAAAGATCTGGTTGCAGTATTTTTCTTTAAGTTTTAATTATACGCAATTTTCTGTAAGTTTTCAAAAAATTAATTTAAAACTGAAAGTATGAAGAATGCACAACAGACCATGTGAAGATCACTGATACTTGATTTTCAGTATTAAACAGAATTACTTATTTGGATTAATGATAAGAATGAATAATATTAATAATGAAATAGACAACTATGTAAGTGTAACTCCCATCAAACAGGAATATAATAAATCATATCAATCATAAACATAATAAAGTGGATAAATTTATATTCAGCCACACTGATCACTATAGTGGTTAGTACTGTTTATTGGCATTGGGCATGAGTTTGAATTCCAAAAATGGCTTGTAGCATTGTAAGTAAATATGTGGTAATATAGTATAGTGGTAAAATAGTAATATATGTGGCATTAGGTACTCGAAAGTCCTCTCAACAGTTCCAGTAACAGGGAAATTCAAAATTAAATATTATAAATATGATATTAGATTAATAATAGCTGACTCAAATTAATTTTTGATATATTTAGCACCTCACTGAGCCCAGCACACAACTGCCTATATCTCCTGCCACATAACCTGATAGTTTTGTTGAATTCAAGCAGTATTACATGCATTTCATAGAAATACTTAGTGTTTTCTTTATTTTAATAATCATGTGGATAAATAAGCATACATATGAACATACATAAATTATTACAAAAATTTTAATTCAATTAGATATTCAGCTTGGAATAAAGAGCTGGTAATAAGTAAGTCATTGCAAAAGCAATAAATGTAATAAAATATTGTGTATAAAGGATTAACATATTGTGTAAAAATAAGAAAATAAGTTTAGTTTTGAAAATCAAAATACTGCAAGTGCAAAATGCAATAACATTAAGGCAAAAATTAAGATGAATATGTTTCGAATTTTAATTTTCCCTATAATTTATTCATGTTGCCACAGGTTATTGTAGCTCACAGTGTATAATTGGGTACTGGTTTTGAGCTTTACTTTTGGTTATTGTATTATATGGAAGATTAGCCATACATATGCATATATGTATATATATAATTACTTTATTTTGAATATATATATATATATGATGCAATTTAACAAGGTTTTCATGACTAAACATCTCTTGAATGCCTAATTCTAATTAGGGCACATGGGCTTGCAGATTCAAGAAATTAATCACATGAGAAAGATTTTCAGCCTATAACAATTTGGTCATATTTTAATAAAAATATTTTTAAACAAAACTCATTTTTATTAGGTTCTTCTACATAGAAAGCTGTTCCTCACTTTATTATCTACTTCAAGGATCTTCTAAAAAGTATACTTGGTTTTAAAAAAATTACTTCCCCCTTTGTATAAATGGGACTTTGAAAACCATGCTTAAATACTTATATTTTGATGACTTAAAAAAAACATCTTTAAAAAGTATGTACTTGAAGAAAATATATATCCTAGCCGTCTTTATTCTTATTTCCTCAGTTTCTCAGAACTTTAATTAAAAAATAGCAGGTAAATTTTTGCCATATGAAGACTAAGTGCTTTCAGTTTGACTATTTGTGTAAATAAAAATTTCCTGACTTTTCTCCTTATGAATGCTACATGAAAATTTAAAAATTCTATCCAGTTTTACTAAACGGTGTTACAACCAAAACTGTTGTAGTCTAAAGCTCAACTTTAGTTAACTCATTTTTTACACTGGAAGCATAAATCTATGATCAACATCAACAGATACTTAATGGTGCAATTTTTTTAGCACAGTGTTTGTGCATGTAAAATGAAGTATTCAAAACCTAATATTTTGCCACTGGAAAAAATAAAATTGATATTGACATAGAATATATTAATTGCTAAGAAGATATCTTCCTTGTTTGTTTCAGCAATCAGATAAATACAGTCTTAATAACCATTACAATACATTAATTAACTTAGTATGCAAATGGAAATGCAACTGAAGTTTTGCCGCTTCTCTCACTGAGAGCTAGCGCCCCCTACGTGTTTTGCTGGTTGGCATTAAAGCTAGCTTTGGTTGACATCACACTTCCATATACAAGCTATGCAGGAGTTACGTATAAGCTACAAAAGCTATAGCTTAGGGCCGCCGATTTCTTGGGGTCCCCCCAAAAAAAATCCTCTAGGTATCCTAAAATCATATTTGGCACTGACGTATATAGACTTATAAAGCGCCCCATATCTCAACTAGCTTAGGGCCTTAAAAATCAAGTCTAAATTCGGCACTATACACAAGCAAATAATATTATTATTAATTACAGGCTTATATTTGCTATAATTTTTGTAGAACTATGGATCAAATATATTTAAAAGACCAATTACAATAACCATATGTAACGGGAAACATACTCACTTGATTTCTTTTATTTACGAGTTCGGATCGTTCGTATAGTTCAGCATTTCGCAGTCCGATTCCGCAAAACTGGAGATACCTTGAAAATACCTGTTGAAATAAATTTCAGTAATTAAAAATGCACAACGTACTATTGTTTCTTCAATACATATTGTTTGCAGTTCTTACCAATAAAACATTCCAAAAGGTTAAAACTAATTAATTGAATTTTCTGCTAAACTGTCTATCTTGGAGCCTCCGGCTCACCAAAGGCTTTAATAAACATTATACATCCAAGAGTCTCAAATCAAAACGTTTTTATTTATGCCACGTAATTCTATCAAGCCAGTCATCTCTTATTCAAATACATAACGTTTTCAAAAATATTCTTTATAGAACAACACTAAACTAAAAGTATATATTGTTGCCACTCACTAATTGTACTAATAGCAAATCGTTTGTATTTATGTAAAGCTAATGTACTTATATTAAAATAAATAAATACTTGGTACTTTTCCGTTTTGCCGGCGCAAACGATAAAGTCGCCAATAATGGTTTAACTGATGCCAGACGGAATATCTTCGCTGGTAACCTTTTACGCCTCAGTTTCAACGGTTTCAAAACAAGTTGAAGCCATTTCTTATCAGATTGTTTCTTTCAATACTGGCATACAATAATATAGAATTTTTACACGATATTTAAATTTTATCCCCTAAGACAATTCACGGTAATTAAGTCAATTAGAACGCAATTGCACCGCTCATCCGAAGGCGAAATCAAGTGTTAAATTCATCAATTCTAATGAGAATGCACTAGCGAAGTAAAGCACTGCGGTTTTACATAATTTCTGAGTAAGCTATTCGTACGAATTGAAATAATTCTTGCATTTAAACTTGTATTCCAAATTAAGATTTAACTTGAAATAATGTAGATAATTACTGAGAGAATTAGATTTTAGTAGCGTAGTTTACGTGAGATGAGATCACTTGGGGTCCATGTTGATACAACCGGCGAATAAGGATTTTGAACCATGAAATCATAGTAAATTCTTAAATTAATGTCTTTTTACAAATTTATTGTCTTTATTTATTGGCTTTTTACAAAATTTTAAACCATATTAAAATGTTTTGCCTTCAAAATTAAAAAAAATTCTTAGAATTAACATTTTTTATGTGTATACTGTATGTTGTCGCCAACAAAGTCTGCTTGGCGAGATTTGCGCCGGCGAAACGGAAAAGTACCAAATACTTAACAAGCAGAAGATAAGATCCTAGCCTTTAATAATACATAACAAGCAGAAGATAAGATCCTAGCCTTTAATAATACATAACAATCAGAACGCTGTACATTATGTATCAGTCTATCACGTTGAATACAAATATACAATACGTAGCAACAGATATTAAAAAATGACAAAAGTCGCAACAACATATAGGATAAATAATCTGAAGTCTACCTTTTACAAATCCATTTTGTGAGGAATCTTTATCTATCTACCTGATCTAGATATTTTCACTTTAGATTTCGGAATACTTCCATTGTCAACTGAGTCCTTATTATCAATATAATTTACTTTTCTGCTTTTAGAATGCAATTAGTGAGTGAAAACTCTACAGAATGCACAGCTGATCCCGAAAAACCCCATATTAAGCAGGGTGAGGGTAATCCAACCAAAACGCCACCCTTGTAGATGAAATCAACTGAGCCTGCCGGGCTTTTGGGTGCCACACCGGAATCCTGGGTTTTAAAACATCACAAATCACACCACCAACCAAGGCCCGAGGAGTCACCACTCCCTGGTCTCTGAACATTGGCGGGAACAACATGACAACCCGCCAATGAACATTGCCTGGAGACTTGATCGTCAAAATGCTACACACCAGTACTACGGAGGTACCTGATGCCCGCACTATGACTAACACAGGGCTTATACCACCTTGGTATGTGGAACAGTAGAGTTAATGAAGTACTACCTAACCTACAGGCTACGGGAAACCGGCAGGCTCGTATTTTTATCCCCCGGTGCTGATACTTCCAAGGTACAATCTGAGTCAGTACAATAAACGACTGCCTGGGGGTTCATCTAGGTAAGCAACTAAATGTTTAAATCTTTTATCCTCTTCTCCTCTGAAAGACTCTCACTGAATCTTTCGTACTAATTTCAGCTCTGCTTTTTGAAATTCAGAAGTAGTGAGTTCCTCTAATTTTTTTTTTCTTTTCTGCAGAGACCATTGTTCCAACCCACTAATCAAATTGTTAGTGTGTATTTAAAGAATTACCAATAAATGCTGTTACACTGGGCCCACCAGTGTCCGAGCCGTAAAGTCGCTGAACACTAGTAGTTCTGTCCGAGGTTCGAATCCCCAGAACGGGCTGGCTGCATGGGCGTTTTCGTGGTTTTCAACATGTGTAACGTGCATACGAGGCAGTTTCCCTTAGTTCTCCACGAAGGCATCCGTCCTCTTAGGCAGATAGCCCTCGAGGCCTTGCCATAATCACATACACACACACACACACACACACGCACATACCTGTTACACTGAACAATCAATATTTTTAATGTTAGCTAAAGATCTTAAATTTGCAGATTTTAATTTCGTCTTTTCTAGCTTTTTCTCTTTAATGGCTTCATTCAAAATGCTTCCACATTTCCAAATCTCAGTAGAGTGTCAATCATTGTGGGTCCTTTCCCATTTGAATGACAAAAATGTGTTGCTGTACAGCTGCTAAATGACAAGTTGGCAGGATTCGGTTCACCAGCTACATGATTATATATGAAAGGAAAAGCTACTCTTCGTATTTCTTGTACTTGATTTCAGATTAGTTCTATTCTCTAACTATTCATGCCAGTACACAGTAGTTGAACCACTCTAGTAATAATATACATGGACCTTATAAGAGATAGACTATCCCAGTGCGCGGGGCGCACGTCACCGACATGTCCGCAAGAAAGAGTAGGGACGATATGGTTTACTTTAACACTGAAACCTATGACATTTGTATCACATAACTGTTTTTATTAAATGTGATACGTTGTATAGAGGTGAGATTATGAAAGTCACAGTTTTTTCAAATAGGATTTAATATATCTTATTAGAGCACTTTTTACTGCATTTCGCGCATTTTTTTCACCCGTAATTCTTGTACAAATATCTTTACTTTGTTGAAACGGTAAAAACTCTAAGCACAAAATTTATTAACTTAATTTTGCTTACAAATAAAGTAAAATTAAATAAGACTGATAGTACGTGATGCTTTGAAATAAATAAGGTAAAATTAAACAAGATCTGATAATTTTTTTTTTAAAAAATTAATGAACATTTTCCGGCAGTGATTTTCAAACTATAATACATTACAAACGATCATTTATTTGATTATATATCATCATTAATTATTAACATTAAAGTGGATTATTTATTTTAGTAATTTATAAAATTTGGAGCATAAAATTTTCTGAGTGTAATGATGGGGGAAAAAATGTAAAATAAAATCTAGAAGCACTCAGATTTTATATTACGCCCAAAAAGAATCTTTTTTTAACTTTTTGTGCGTTACCTATATTTATTGAATATTATGTTCTTCGCGCGTGAACCACATACATTTGAAAAGAGCATATCTTTAGAATTTCCGCACTCGAGATAAAATTGTTATTTTCCGTACAGTGTTACGATTGCTCGCTTTGAACTCGTTGAGTTTGTTAATCAAAAATTTGTTAGTTTTGCAAAATGAAACTAGATTAATAAACCAAGTTCGATAATTCGTGCCGTCCAGGTGCCCATATGCGGGTGGAGGACTACATTATTCAAACTTTGAATGGCTCTAGGGGACCGTCGTTTTTGTCACAATGCGAGAAACATACATGTATTCATGCAGATTCTTCATTATTTAATTTCTTTAAATATAATACAGGGCGATAATATTTGGTAACAACCATTGGCTAATCTTTGGAATATGGTAACAGGTAGTTTGGCGACATTTTGGCAAGGTGATAAAGGTTACTAGCTAGGACTTTAGCAGTGTACATGGATAAAGTCAAGAGTGTGGGCAATGCCATTTTTGTGCAATTCTGGGATTTTTTTTAAGTGAAAATAGGTCGACGTGTACATAGATGATACCGTGTATGTGCAATTCTTAAAAACGCGGCAAGCAGTGGGCGATTATGCACTTTGTCCCAATTTCGCACCTAATCTTCGTCACGATTAAGCACTTTTGTTCCATAAAAGTTCTAGCATAAGCGTAATTTGGCTAGCAGATTGTTAGAAAAAAATGTTGAGGTGTGGGGAAAATATATATATATATAATATATATATGCCTTTACTTCGTGAAAACAAAATGGCGTCCAAACAAAAACTAGCAAGTTGCTGTAGCAGGGTTGGCCGCCGAATTTTCTCCAAAAAATCGCCAAGTTACCAGAATCCAAAGATTAACCAAATAATTTGCAAGGAGGCACAGACATTTACAGTAAAACAGCGCAAAATGCCGCTTCGAAACTAACAGCCTTTCTAGGCTACCGCCCCTTTGGGCTAATAAATTAAATTAGCAATAAATAAAAAAATCTTATGCAGAACTAAAAATAAATTTTAAAAAATAACCAGTATAAAATGCAAGCAAATTAATTACGGTTAATATAATTTTTATATTAGAATTAATGTATAACATTTTTAAGGAGTCAAAAGTATTTATCACTGTGATGTATTATGAAATATAATTGAAATAAAATTCCTTTACAGAAATTGTGCTATAACACTCATCTATAATTTTAAAAAAGCAGCACAATTTAGTATTTTACACAAAACTTTCGAAAATTCTTTTTTAAATATTTTAGTGTTTTTTACTTATTTACACCAATAAAACGCATAAAAATTGCAAGAGAAAACTGCTTGTTTGAAATTTTCTATTACTTCAGATTTAAAATACTATTTTCTACAAGAAGTAGTTACAAATTTTCTTACAGCATAGGAAAAGCTAAAAAAATATCCAGCCCTGAAAGCGTGCAATAGCTTTATAATTATTTGGAACGCTAATTATGCTTGATAAATATACTACATTTTTAAAAATCAATCTCGGTTTCAAAAATAAAAATAAGGAGAAATTCTAATTTGTGAAATGAG